TATCTGTAAATGAATATTTTTTTTTAACAGGTGATCTTTACAATTTTAAATTTGTATCAGTATAATATAATATTATAATATTCCTTGACCACCCAGATAGCAAGCTTACGTTGGGCCGATGTTGGCATATGGTTGGTAGATCAGCTACATATCGCGGTTGGCAGAACGATATTGGGCCAACATCGGTCCGACATTGTCATTACAACAGTCGGTGCATTGACATTGTTCCAACCTCGGTCCGACATTGTAATTACAACAGTTGGTGCATTGACATTGTACCAACATCGGTCCGACATTGTCATTACAACAGTTGGTGCACTGACATTGTTCCAACGTCGGGCCCACATTGTTATTTTTAATTTTGAAGTGTGGACATCTTTGTAATGTTGGCCCGACATTGTTGAACCAATGTTGCTATGTAAACTTATGTTGAAACATTTAAAAAAATTATTTATTTATTTTAATTTTTATCTATTTGTTTATTTATTCATTTTTGATTATTTAACCCTTACGTAGATTTTTCAAAACCAAGGAATATGACTTAGATTTTTTTTAAACTGTCCACTAATAGTAAAATTACATCGGGATCGAAGTCGGGTTCGATAAGCAAATAATTTAAACAACACACCGCGCCGAAATTTAAACTTTTCGGGGGTTCCACGCAGCCATGTTGATGTTGTACAGAAGGAAAGTTCGGAAGCGAGTGTTGCGAAAAGGAGAATCATGATTAGCTTTGGATGAAATTTCTGTTTTGGCAGAAGTCAAAGACATTTTACGACCCGGTACTGCGGTAGGTACAATGTACAAAATTTGATTATGAGTCCTTGAATGAATATAATTGCTTCTGCTACTGTTCCTTAGTCAGGACACTACACATAAAATGCCTGGCAGTGAAATCGTTTGAGCAAGCGTTATTTCAATTTTGTCATAATAATTTAACACTTCTAAACATCTTTCATAAAGATGGATTTCAACCCGATTTTCCTCGTTTGGATTCGGTTCAGGAATTTTAGTGTTCCTCTGTTCAACATTTACAGAGTAAAAATTATGCATATTTATTTTTAAATGCATGTTCAAGATCATTTTCAGCACTTATTTTGATTGTTTAATAGTTGCAGTGGACTGTGCCCGAGACCATTCCCACAGCGCCGGCGAATAGTCAGCTTGTGAAAATGGTGAGAACCAGCTCAAATTTTCATTTAAAACAAATAACCTAACATTGTTTTTATTAACTTGTATCTTTTAGCATAAAACTATAAAAAAGATATTGCATCTACTTTATACATGTACCAAGTAAACAAGAGATCTTCATTCTTATTTCCTTATCCTAAAAATACATAACAATGAATTCTGTCAGGTAATCTAAACATGCTATAAAATGAACAGCTATGCATTATTATTTACATTAAATACTTAAGCATACATTATTAAAAATAGCTATCATATTCTATGATGCACAATTATACATGCATTATTTACAGGAATCTGAATGCTAACAAGAAGGACAAAAGCAGTATGAAAATTAACACAAAGGTAAAATTTTCTGATTAGAACAATAAAATCACATGAATTGAAATTATCTTAATTTATTCAGTGTTAGTCAGGCATAGAGCTTTAGCTCTAACCTTTTCTTTTTAGCTCACCTGAGCCAATTTAAGGCCCAAGTGAGTTTTCTCATCAGTGTCTGGTATAGTGTTGTACCGATAATCGGAAAACATCGATTGTCGACGAAAAAAATGCTACCAATTCCGATGATCGATTATAATTTTTCATAATCGATCATCGGAAACATACTTCTAATAAAGCAGAATTATCTATTTCTAGTTTAAAATTTATTTATTCTTAATGAAAGAAAATGGTGTCTGCTTCTGATACTAGCAAACTAGCACGAAGCAGACTAGCAGAGGTGCTTAGGAACCACAAGTAAATTTTGGTGTAGACTCATAAAATTTATAACTTGTTCGCCCACGTGGCGAATTAAAAATCTGCAGGACCATTCCAGTCCCCTTACTGAAAACAGACGCTTTCCCCATGTTTTTTGCTTTAAAATTTCCAATCAATTAAATAAATAAAAGTAACATAGTCCTATTGTTAGTAAATACCCTTCATCTAATTCATTTACCAGTACTACATGATTTGTGAAATCTTTAAAAGTAATTTGAACTTCAATGTTCATTTTAAACAAATGCACAAGTGTATTTTATATTTAATTATATCTACTTTAATTGACCCAGTGATGTATTCAAAGGGTTAAAAAATCACAGAGATTGTGGCTTAACAGATTTAGCTGTAGGCTCTTAAATTTAAAACTTTAGGAGCTCACGTGGCTAGTGGAAATTTTAGTTAAGTTTAAACCATGCATGTATGTAGAAAGTGTGAAATAAGCAAAACAACAAAGAAAACAATAAATTACATATTTTATATATTCATGTTTAAGAAATAATATGAAATAAATGCAACAGTCTGCTTTTTATATACCAAACTATGACATCCTATTATAATCGGTAAAATCGCATCGGAAGCAGTAATCGATTCCAACCGATGATCGATTGTGAAAATTAACCGATGTCCCATCACTAGTCTGGTATTTGCTGTCATCTGTCAACTTTTCAATTTTTTACATTTATCGGAATTAATCCAAATTTGAACAAAAGAAATGCAAGATAGTGATATTCTATTCTACACTATACTGAACTGTCAGATTGAAAGAACCAATTGTCTTGGCAGTCTTGTAAAGCTTTACTTTTTTATTTGTCATATATTTATATATGCAATAGATATCGAAGATAATACATCCTAATTGTTATATTTTCTTTCAGAAATTGTGCCAGAAAAGTTTGAAGTGTCTATGCCGTATGGGAATGATCAACATCGAACTTGCTGAGCCTTCCTACTTAAAGGAATCCGTTCATGACATAGTTATTTGGCTACCCTCTAACATAACGCCATCTTTTATTTATTTATTATTGTGAATTTCATGGGATATCAGTGAGGAAGTGATTCAAGCAGACACTTGAGAAGTTTTGGATCTTCCTTAATTAGGATCTTTGGCATGTTCGGGGAAAATAGCATGTGTTGATTTTATGGGATCTTTTTATTAATATAGTTGTGTAGTAAATATTTTGTACTTATTACATGTGTAAAGCAAACATGTGTTTGTCACTCTAGTCTAGTCATTAACTTTGTATGGTAAATGTACATGGGCAACTGGAAGTTAATTGTAACTGTATACCCTGTTGAGGTTTCAATGACCTCTCCCAATATAATTAAGTCAAATGCCATATTTAAAAAAAAAAAAGTTTGTTTTATTATAAATCAAAGGCCTGAAGGGCCTGCAAGTTGACTCGCACGAGTTAATTGAGCTTTTTCATACATCGATCTGGACACCATATCTTATATTCAGTTTATTTTGCTTTTTTTAAGAGAGAAAAACTGATTGAATATTATATGTCTCCATGCTCGGTTAAAAAATAAAGTGTATATTGCTTTTCCTGTATATATTCAAGTTGGCACTAATGGGATTCCGTACATATTTTTATTAAAAGCAGCATTGCAAACCTGGATTCTATGATGAATTTTAGCACACTAGCTGCAGTGGTCAGAGTTATGAAGTAATTTGTTTAAAGATTCCCACAGCAAATCTTGATTCTAAAAATAGATTTTTCAAGTACACTAGCTGCAGCTGATGAGAGCTTCAGGTGTTTGTGTTAGGAAGTATTCTAGGTCAATTATAAATAAACTTCAGATGGGAAGATTAGATCCACCTATTACATGAACATATATATTCATACGCAGTAATTGTACATCGTACAAATATTTAATCAAAAATTTCTTTAAAAGCATGAAGACATAAATAATGTAACAGTATGAAATTTTATACAGTTTTTACCTTCTAAGTTTACACAATCACTCAAACAAAAGCATGTTTTGCTAGAACTATCATATTTGGCGTATGGATTGCCTTGTTGAATGCGTGAAAAATTTTACAGTTCTGAAACGTCTATGTCAACAAGGAGTAGCTCACTACGCGAGCCAACTCAAAAAATGTCGATCAGTGAGAATACTTTAAAAAAAAGGTGCTTACATTGTACATCTATAAGTGTATATGTAATATTTGTCTCAAAACACATTGTAAGAGAAACAATTTTTTTATTTTTGAAAATACAGATTTGATCTATCAAAAATTGTGATATCATTATTTCAGTTTTCATTGTATCTTCCTTGAATTTCTCAGATTTCCATGGAATTCCATAGATTTCCAAATATCCTTGTGCACAAATATGTTGGTCCAACATTGGGCCAACATCAGAATTATCATTGTTTGACATTGGGCCAACGTAGCGCCTACATGTAGGTGCATAAATACGTTGGGCCTACATTGGGCCAACATCAGAATTTTCATTGTATGACATTGGGCCAATGTAGCGCCGACATGTTGGTGCAACGTTGCGCCAATGAGCAAAATTACATTGGCCCAATATCATTTTACAACATTGGGCCAACATAACTGACAACAGTGGCCCAACGTTGGGCCAATGTAAGCTTGCTATCTGGGCAGGAATATTTCCCTCGGCACGCTGCGCCTCGGGAAATAGTGCTGGTCTTGGGGAACTGGAATCTTGCCAACTTCCCCAATGATATACTTTAACTGTATATCATCACATGCCCCTGATAAGGCTGATTGGTCGTATTTCCGAGAAATCGCAGATTTTGGTGATTGTTTTCTTTATATTTAAGTTCATTATAATTTATGCTTAAAAAATAATTAAACATCCATTCCAATACATAAAACGAATAAGTGACTTTAATCAGAAAATACCCTGTTTACTGGGAATAAAAGTAGTTTTGAAAAACTTGTAGTGTTGTGCGTGATATTTTGGGTAAATAAACATGGTGCTGAATTTAAGTTGCCTATCCGTTAGTATATTGGTTCCTGGTTAGATAGATAAACAGACTGATAAAAACACTAATTTTAAGCACTGCAAATGAACTTTACTTACACGATACACTTGTCCAAAGAGTCTGATCACAAGCCTTTTCACTGTCTCCTGCTGTACCAGTCGATATTGTTTGGTCTCATAAAAGCCTCAATTCACGTCTTCGTACTTCGACCTCGACGTCTCAGCGGTAAAAGGCCAATGAAATTCTCCCGAACTATGACGTAACGGTTTACAGTCAACTCGTACACAAACCGAGTCGTACACAAACCGACTCGTACACAAAAAGTCAACTCGTACACAAATCAGAAGTCAACTCGTACACAAATCAGAAGTCAACTCGTACACAAACTATTGTCATTCATACGTAGGTTTCCCTATGTGATTTAAGGTATAGTTTTCCTCAGTGTACAAAAATTGAGGAGTCGACTCGTACACAAAAGTTTTTCTTGTATATTTCAATCTATTTTATGCCTCTGAATTTACCTATATACTATATGTGCAGATTGATTTTTTTTCCCCACAAGATTTTGAATTTCTTAAAAATTATATCGGAGGTGTCAACTTGTACATATTTTTGTTATAATAAATATATATATTTGATACATAAATGAAAAGTCCATTTTTTTCTGTGGATTTAATTTATATCTTATAATTTTATATCTTAAACGACATAATAAATTTGATTAAATTGAATTCCAAATTGTTAAATGTCACCACAACAAATTGTAATACGTTAACTTTACATTTTTATAAATAGTCTTCTTTCTTGCAAGTAATATGGATATAAATTTATATATAATATTTAGAAAGTAAGAAATTTAATGGCACCATAACGTCTAGTTATTCATATTAGTAATACATCGTGTAAATAGTTAAATTGATAGAAATACATCGTAAGATTAATTGTAAATCGTATCATTACATAGAGTATCCATAAACATTTATCAAACTTATCAAATTCAAAAAAGGGATACTTCTTAAGTGTACTCTATATAGTAGGACTGTTAAAAAACATTTAAAAACTTAGTTTTTACAGCAGGATAAACACGTCTCTAGCACCATGGTGAAGTTAAAAGAAGGGAGAAATTTGGACCAAATTAGGAGTTTAATATTGTGACGTAACCTATTTTTGATAATATCCTAATTTCGATAGGCTAATGTTTTAAACAATAAATCAGAAAACCTTTCGTAATTTTTTGGAACTCTTATCCCAAAATTACCAACAGATGTAAAAAGTGTAATAAAGCCAAAAAGATCGAAAATTATGCCATTTAGAGAGGTAAGATTTTATTTTTCTTTTTATCTATTCAAATAACGCCCTTTTCTCATAATGCCAAAAAATTCACTCTAAAACCCTATCTCCTTAGCCTGAAAACAACATCTGGGACCTTATTCACAAAGCATCCGTTTAAATGTTATCGTCTGTTAAAAAGCTCCGTGTTGTGGCTTAAAAATAGATAAGCCTCACCTTGGGCAAACTTCCGCTTAAAAAAATAAAGTATGGAGGCCTGTTACGGGTATTTTAATTTAAATTTTGACATCTTTTAATGTTTTAAGTTTTGTTTCAGTTGATTTATTGTTCGTTTTATTGTAGATATTTTCCATCAAAAGGGAAAATTTCAAGAATTATAATAGGCCAAAGGCTATGGATAATGCTTTCCAAGCAGACAATGGCTCCTGGCTTGAAATTTCAATTTAGTAAAATTTCAACCTAAAAATAAAAAAAAATTAATGTTATAATTAGGTATATTTTATTTGTTGTTAAGATTATAGTTGAAAACAGGATCAAAAAATCCAATATCAGAAAAAATGACAAAAAACAAATAAAAGAAAACAAAAACCCACACAAAATAACATAATTCGATGTTTTAATGACAATAACTGTGTGCCATACTTGCTGGCGCAGTGTAAAGACCTGATGAGTGTAATGACCTGATTGACCTGATGGACATTATTTAAAGAAATAATTAAATTAACACCGAATAAAGTATACTGTTAACATTTATTTTTACATATGGTGTTGTTCTTCATCTCAAAAAACCAAAAAAATAATTTTACAAGTCATTTTTGTGTTTGAATGGGACGCTATCCCAATAACTTCAGTGTAATGACCTGATATCTAGTGTAATGACCTGATGAACATTATTCTGTTTTCTTCAATATATATCCTTTTAAATTTGTTTTTTTCTATTGAAAGTGTTTATGTTTTAATGTTCTAATAAAATCTTAAAATTCTGCATGTGTTTTGTTTTCACAAATGTTACTTTACCATTAATAACTTTTGCTATTGTGTAATGACCTGATATGGAATGACCTGATAAGTATCAGATTAGTTATTTGTGGAGGAGAATTCTTGCATATATTTATTTTAAAAAGTTTTTTTGTGGAATGAAACTGAAATAAATTCTTTATTAGTCAACAACTTTAATATACAAATAAGTCTAATTCATCCGAAAATTATGTCGAGTGTATTTTATATTTTAGATGCAACGAATCCGACTTTGATGTGTTACAAGTTTTAAGATAGCGCAGTAATATAACAACATTAATAATTTACCTTGCTTCATTATCAAAAGAAGCTAGTTAATTAAAATAATAAAGTTTGGGTGATTTTTTTAATTAGCTTTTATAGTTTGTTATCCGCCTTTGATGTGTTCTATTTTAAGAAACTTATCAAATCACAGTGTGTAATTATTTGGCTTAATTCCAGTCCACAGGGATTGGTTGAAGCTAAGGGATAAATTAACTTCTCTAAATTATTTTTCTGTGTTAGGATTGGACAAAATAATTAATCAAATATATTTTGCATATCTAATTCATTTTTTATTTATTTCATTGGTTGAGAAACAAGATATGCATGCGCGTACAGATGAATATGCATATTCATGAAGGAATTATCATCTCAAAATTATTATTTCTCTTATAAAATGGTACTTTTTCGAAACCCTAAAAAAAAAACTTAGCAAAGTTGAATTGATAACGCATGTCTATGAACTTCGCGGGTTTGTTCTTCTTTCTCGTGTTGTTCGCGAATCGTATTTTCAGGTAATAAAAATGTCAAAATAAAATATTTTTGTACTTGTATTGTCATCGGAAAGGATGCGCAATTTTTACGCTGTTCGTCAATTTCATTTTAATTCAAGACAATTGCTTTTAATTTCCCTATATATATTTTACAAAAGTTCATGTAATATTTTAAATATAATGTAAGAACAGCGTAACTAATTGCACAGGTATAGTATAACATGTATGGATACCTAACGGTGACAACTAAGTACATGTTTTAATTGATTTTCACACCACACCTCTCCTTTCATATCTGTGTCTGCGTTCTTTCGGGAGCTTCTAAGAGGAGATAATGTTGAACATGCTATATGAAGTTTTCACCCATTGCACGTCCAAACTCCCAGCCGGGTATTACAAAGAAAGGAGAGTTCTTTTACCGGTCCATAAAAAAAATAAATGTGTATAGAATTTATGTAAATATGAACTTGTAGATGCACCTCACAATGACACCGTTAAAATCTTAGAAAAAAATAATGAATATATATTGTTCAAGAATTCATTATATTACATCGATTAAATCCTATTTGAAAGTGTCAGCTAGTAATCAACACAGATACACGAAACCCCCGATGTTTATTTAGTTCATACAAACAAGGTCAATCGATCCTGTGTATATCGATTACATAATCAATCAATTAAGTCCAGGTTATTACACATTTTACACCTTCTACAATAAGATTTTAACTACTGAAGGGATGTCATTGTGAGTTTGTGTATATAAACATGTTCGTATACATAACATTGAAAATGCTCGTATTCCGTGCGAAGAGGTGATTGTCTGTAATATAAATAAAATATATAATACTAAATGTAGGGGTGACCTTCATTTTAAATAAAACTATCAGCGTACAAAAAAGCGTACAACCTGAGACAGATCGCTCGCCATTAAGTACATGATAGTTTCGTGTAGGGCTTCAATGTTTAGTGTACAATCCTGAGACAGATCACTATACATTGAAGATTATATTGTTATAAAGATAGGTTCCCTTTAGTAAGAGTAAGACTACAAAAGTGCAAAAAAATTAAAAAAAAAAAAAAGAAAGAAAAAAAAAGAAAGAAAGAAAAAAGAAAAAAGACTAGACATAAAAAAAAATATGATACAAAGGAAGAGAGAAAAAAAAGAGAAAAAAAATGAAAAAAAAAATAGTAAAAAAAGAATAAAAAGAATGATAAAAAAAGGAAAGACAGAAAAAGAAATGAATTTAGAAAAAGAAATACATGATATGATTTTAATTTATGTATGTACATGTACTTTGATAGGGAGAGTGTACTATCCTGTAAAGGCCTAACTTTGGGTCCCAATGTTATCATCAGGCGTACATTGATTATGCTGTAGTACATTTTAAAAATTGTAATATAGCATAATTTCCTTAGACAGATCGTCTGGTTTTAACATGGGTGATAGATGGCTCTCATGTTAGGAATACCATGGAATGTGTACATACCTGAGACAGATCACGTCTGGGATGAGGAACACAACAAATGGATCTATCAGTTCAAATTCACAAAATCAACTTCGCCAGCTGCACAGATCCATCACACTGGAAAATTTCACTGGGTGTCATCTGCGAAAGTGGAGGGACAAATCTATCTCTTTGATAGTTTGTTCAGTGGCACCCTGTCTCCTTCGCTTCAAATACAGCTGGCCAGTTTGTATGGAGGTGATTTCAAGACAGTAACAGTTCGTGTTCCCTCCATACAACAGCAGACAAACAGTGTTGATTGTGGGTTATTTGCAATAGCCAATCTTGTGCAGTTCTGTTATGGGTATTACACTGGGAAAGAGCTAATAAAATATGACTCCGCATTTCTGAGAGATCATCTGGTGTTCTGCTTAGAGAGAGACCTGCTCACACCCTTTCCACGCCTAGAAACAAAAGCCAAGTTAAACAAAAAGAAAGTGGTGTATGTAGACATTTCTTGCGATTGTAGCAAATGCAGACTGCCAAATTTGGTACAAGAAATGATCGGGTGTGACGCCGGTAAGACTGCCTGTGATGTATGGAGACATTTAGACTGTGCAGATACACTGGAGGATGCAGACTGGTTCTGTACACCACACAGAAACAACTGACGGCAGACAAAAGTAGACAGATCAATCTAGATGTATATGATGTAAATAAAACAAAAAAAAAAAAATGAAAAAAAAAAAATGAAAAAAAAAAAATCGAAAAAAAAAACAAAAAAAAAAACAAAAAAACAAATACATCATAAATTAAAAAAAGTGGACCCAGAGTAGAACCACGTCCACGTCGTTGGGTCTGGAAACATGCACCTGCATGGCTAAGAGTTCTACAAACAAGTACTTAACAAAAACAAACAAACAAAAAAAAAAAAAACAAAACAAAAAAAAAAAAAAGAAAAGAAAAGAAAAAAAGAAAACAAATGAATAATAATAAAAAACTAATACTATACAAACAAAGAGGACCCAGAGTAGAACCACGTCCACGTCGTTGGGTCTGGAAACATGCACATGCATGGCTAAGAGTTCTACAAACAAGTACATAACATTACAACATAATATATAATATGACAATTATAATTAATAAAATTTGAAACCTTGGACCAATGAATATAAAATTCAAAAAAGCAAAAAACAAATAAATAAATAAAAAAAAAAAAACGACATATATATGCAAGATATTTCTCTTTGGCATTTCCATCAGGTCATTCTTTATCAGGTCATTACACCATTAGTACGGATTTTTTTTTAAATAAAAAAACTTTGAAAATTATAATTGATAAAACTTTACTTTTAACTTAAAGACAATCAAAAATTGAAACATATAAAAACTTAGTTTAATACAAATATCCAACAATGGGTAAGAAAAGAGAAAAATAGTCTCATCAGGACATTACACGATTTATCAGGTCTTTACACTCCTTGAAATCGGTATATTATCCTATAAATCTTAAATATCAACTTATCAAACAAAATCTTTGTTTATATTGTAAATTAATAATTGTATGAACAATTCTAAAAAAAAAAATAATTTTAATTCGTCCTTTAAATTAGGTAAATTACGATTTATATCTCATCAGGTCAATCAGGTCATTACACTCATCAGGTCAATACACCGTGCCATACTTGCTATCGAAAATAGGTGACGTCATTCAAAACAACTCGGATTATGGCGGATCCAAAGAAAGTTGAAACAGTACTGAAATTCTTGATTTCAAAAACAAATAAATGTCTGAATATATTTATTTATTGTTGACTAATAATACATAAATAATTGAGGTGAGAAAAACATAGATGTCTAGATAAAATTTTTAAATAAAGTTTTACACTATCGAAAACCGGTAACGCCAGGATATAATTGGTTGAATCCTTAGACCTAACAAGAGACGTTATTAAAATGTTAAACCATTTTAAGTATTTATAAATTGATGAAACCTTTTTTCATTTTCTTCTAGATTATACATTATCCATATAAAAATACTTCCTAACAATTGTAAATAAAACGTTGTGTACGAGTTGACTTCTGATTTGTGTACGAGTTGACTTCTGATTTGTGTACGAGTTGACTTTTTGTGTACGAGTCGGTTTGTGTCCGACTCGGTTTGTGTACGAGTTGACTGGACACCGACGTAACGGAGAGTCGGTAAATGGGTCGGTTAGCTAAGCCGGGCCGGGGGAAAAGAACTAAAAAAACCGGATTTCCGATATTTTTCAGATTCCTACATGAATTACAATCGTATTGACGGTAAATGCATCTTATAAGTGAATAATTATTTACTTTGAAAACAAGATCTGTTTTTGATACACTGCTGCCCCGTACGGCAGTTTATGGTGGGGATTGAACTATCTCCAATGCACATCAAACTCCAAGGTCAAGGTCAAAAGGTCAAAATTTTTGGTAGTCAATGAAAGGTCTTGTCATAAGGAATAAACCTGTGAAATATGAATGCCCTAGTACTGACTGTTCCAAAGTTATGACCATGGCAAGGTTAAAGTTTTTAAAAGTGGGTAAAACTCTAAAGTCAAAGTTAAAAGGTAAAAAAAATAATTATATCTATTGAAAGATCTTGTCACAATGCCCTAGCACCAAGTGTTCAAAAGTTTTGGCTAAGGTTAAAGTGTGGTACTTTTGTTAATTTTAGGTAAAAGTGGGTCAGTCTCCAAGGTCAAGGGGTAAACATTTGGTGATACCCACAGAAAAGTCTTCTCATAAGCAGTGTTTTCCCTAAGAACCGGCAACCGGCCAAATTGACCGCTTCAATTGACAAAAATGCCGGTTTAAAATAAAAAATTGTTGTAAGGTCCACAGAGATTCTGTTCATAAACATCAGCCCTTAGCCTGTTACAACTGATCTCTAACCCTTTACTTTGAAATAAAGGGAAATCACTGATAAGGAATACACCCAGACCTGTGAAATATGAAAGCCAAAGCTCCACTTATTCAAAGGTTATAGGCAAGGTTAAGGTTTTTGCAGACAAACAGACAGATGGACTGGCAGGGCGAAAACTATACACACCCAAAATCTTCGATTATTGGGGCATAAAAATGCACTGTAATTTGCAGATTTTTTTTATTTTCTTGGCGATTGTTTATTTCCTAATCAGCTTGTCACAACTGACACCTTGGCCCAATTTTTTTTAGGCAAAATGTTTTTAATAAAAAAAAATTATCACAGTGTATGAATTTATAAATTATTGATTTATTATTCTTTCTGACTAATGCTTTTTAAAATAAAAGGGAGGTCTAATAATGATAGATAAAATTTTTTCCAACAACTAGTAAATCAGATTAGCCTTTCATCTGTTTATCTTATTTGCAATATATACATTCAAGTCAAACTTTTTTTCAACAACTTTAACTGCTATTATAAGAATTAAACCAAGGTCCAAGAAACAGTAACACAGATGTCAGATGCAAACATTTTTTCTTTATACCTGTATGTTTGAAAATATTGTCCATCGCACAAGATAAACATGTACATGTATAATCTATTTCACATGACATAATTACCTTCATTCAGGCTGCATTCGTGGTGCAGTGCATGGTTAGAGTGTCTGCACTAGAGTCGCAAAGTAAGGAGGTGATCGTTATATTGCAGGTTCGAATCCCACTGTGGGACGTGGAGACCGGCCCTTGGGATAAGACTGTATAAACCGAGCTAGGTCCCGCGTCACAATTTTTTTTTTTTTCAATGAGTTGTGTGTCATTTATCACACGTTTTATAATCAAATTCAATGTGTTACACTGTTTCTCATTTACTTCATCATTTTCACATAAAACTCATAGTGACTTCACAGCAGTGGGATATCAAAAAAATATCCAATGGGTATGATATCCACTGGATAAAGGGCTAAACATGTGATAATTACTAATGTTCTACAATAACAAAAAAAAAAAATATATAAATAAATTTGATAAATTTATTTGATAGAATATATTTTATATGTATATATATATATTTATATAATAATTACTTTATGTCCCATCATCACATCATGAATATAATTTGAAACAAAAAAAAAACATGATGAAGTTGCTATTCAACCAAAAAAAAAATTAAATGATTTTCCCCATTTTTTTTCTTTGTGAGAACTTCCAGTGACAGGTAATGATAACCGATTCTATACAATGCATGCTATAACCTACCATAATGATTAAAGCAACGAGGCAACAGGCCTATAAATGAATGCACTATGACAGTATAATAATGTAGATAATTAATATCATAAGACAACCAAATATATTTATTATATATACACAATACAAAGTGACCAGATCCACTTTGCTTCTGAAGTTACTTATATTGCACTTGTGTCTTACTGGCCATATCCAAAAATATTTATCATTTCTCTTTTTTTTAATTCTCGAAATAGAATAAATAACAATAACTTAAAACAAGAAAACGCTTTTATCTTGGTCAACTCTTTAACAGTGTTATAAGCAGGCCAAAGTTTGGACATGTCTTCAGGATAAAGGTCCTAAAGGGTCTCCATAGTGTTGTTATGAAGTGCAGTCATATTTAGAAATCTATGTATAAATATTATTTTGTTTATCCAATCAGTTCTCATTTAACTGAAATTCATATAAACTCATTATGAAGTTGGACACTTCAGATTTCAAGACTTTAAACCTCAGATATTTTACAATTTAGACATCCATTTCATTCTACTTTAAAAAAAACATAGTTGAAAATAAACAATAGCCAAGGTATATTTGTTTCAAAAATTAACAATCTGACCTATTTTTCATATAGATGATTCCCTTTATGGAATTGATGCTTATTAATGTTTATTGCCTTGATTTTCTTGATTGAAATGTAACAATGAAGAGACAGCAGCGATGGACAAATAAATAACCGATACCCTGAACTAACTGAAATAACCCATCACTTTCAAAGAGGAAAAACATCCTGAACACAAACAAAAAATAATATTGTCATGCTCATCAAAAATACAACCTTAACATATTTGCAAAGTCAAAAAATAACAATAAAACAACAAAGTTTATTCAACAAGTTTTTTCCGAGCAGGTGACATCAGTAGACATGAAAAATAAATGGCAAGGCCGGCAACTCCCTCATGTAATACAATCTAGCCTCCAGGTCTATAGAAAGCTTATATTTATGAACATGGTAGAAATCCCATTCCCCAAGTTAAAATTTCTTTCTGATATGGAAAACCTTTATGAACGAAATGTGAAAAAGATAAAAGAAAGGTTCTACCCATCACTCCTTAGATAATGAACATAACAATATAGTGTTTATAAAACAACAAGTCATCCTAATTCTTTAAACTATGGGGTAAAACAAAGGTCACTTGAAGTCCTAATGTGATACTGATGTAGCCTATGGTGATATGTATTTCCAGTACTACTAGTGTAAAGTGTATGTGACATTAAACTAAGTGATAACTCTATCTCAATATGCTCTACTTTTTTTGACAATATGGAAAATCCAGATTTCTTTCTTGGCTTACAACATGAAGTGTTCTGTACACCCTTTAGATTTTCAGATTCTTCTAGTCAATACATGTATTTTCTCCACAAAGATTAATTCTGTCTCCACGACACAAGAGATTACATTTTTAGAGATGGATGTAGAGGTTGGAGGGAGGGGGTGTGAAGAATTCAGCTGATATTAACCCCCCCCCCCCCCCCCCCCCCAAAAAAAAAAGAAAATTAAATACAATTTTTTTTTCTTTTTGCTTATTTGATCTTATGACTGCACATTCATAAAATGCTTCAATAGATAAAAACTTTAAAGACTATTGAATAATGACAGTATGTGTATTAAATTGAGGAAAAAAAGTTGTGAATGTGGCCATTTTATGGACTGGTCATTTGATTGCTTAATTAACAAAAGAAAAAAAATGCATGTACATGACAAAGATCATCATAACACAGCGACATCTGACTAGTGAGAGGTTTGATAACAAATAAAATAGTACCAGTAACTAGTGCACAGTGCAATTAAATATAATATATATATAAGTATATATAAGTTACATAAGTTTGAAATGTCAACAGGTTGATCAGAGAGTCTATCTAACATTATTAATAACCCCAGAAGGGTTCCAAATAACATTTTCATCCACTTTCTGGTCCGAGCTGTTGACACACTTCAATATTTTAACTGGACTGCAGTACTTTTTTACAATAACATGAAAATTTGAAATTAATCAAGTCTTTGAAAAAAACAGACAAATGACTTATCAAATGCAATCCATTTTTTGACATTTCTAAATACATGCCCAGGAATTGTGAAAATTCAGAGAAAAAACACACACAAAAAATGCATTGAATTGGTACAGGTTACACATATAACTATTTGGCACATTGATATTGAAGCTGTTTAAACAAATGCAACAGCTACAACCATTACTTTAGGCTGAATAATGCAGGCCAGGGGCAGAGAAACAAAGAAACGACAAAGCATTCCTAGCTCTAGGTTTGAATGAGTCGGGAACACTTAACATATATCATGTCCCGTATTTCAATATAGAATAAATAACTTTTTTATTCATTGGAGTCATTTTATATATTATTGGTCAGACTTGTATTGTGATTTTTTTTGTGATGACACCTGAATGGGGGGTAAAATGTCTGTCACCTTGATGAATGATGGGGAGGGAGGGGGAGGGGTAGATGTTTGAGGGGGGCCTATAATCAGAAAGTAATAATAAAGATGATACAAAGAATACATAAAAATAATTCCCTCAATGGAGCCTCAATCTACTCCAGCTCATAAAAGCTTCTTAATTAATACAGAGATATCATTAAGACTTGATATTCAGATTTTCCCAATGAGCACAAAAAAACAAATGAAGTCCCCTCTCCCTAGTGATTTTGGCAATAACAATAAATAAATAAGATGAGAAGCAGTGTTTACCACATAGTATAACATTGGTCATCTAAACACAAAGTCATGGAAGCTGTGAAAAATATACCTTTATACATATATAATATGTACACAACATTCTAATCCACAATAAAATATTGGAGAAAAAATGTACCAATCTTCAAAAATAAGATTTCTGATTATTTCCAATGAATAAAAAAACCTGGAGACAACACTACAGTGATTAGGAGAGTTTAAGCCGTGAACATGGAGCCAAACGGAACCAAACACTTCATAATAATCTACAAGGATGACAAGCATATACTCCCAGATTTCACAAGCAACATCTATAATTAGATTTTTTTTGTTGAAATTTTTAAAATTCACATGTAAATGCTGTAAGACACACATATATCTTTCCTATAAGTAAAATGTCATGACTTTAACAGAAAAACAAAAAAATATCACATGATACATCTACATGGATAACTAATTGCTGCACACCCTCCATCCTCTGCTAGCTAGCCCCCTGCTAGCCTCGCGGAATCAGATCTATGTCATAATATTGCATGGAACACATTCCAATGAAGCAGATCTGTGGCTCTCTCTCCTCGGGAAGCGATATGCAGTCAAATCACGATTAAATCCATGGAAAATTTCCCTCCCCAGTGTTTTATATCCTGTGGTCCATCGTTCTCATCTCGTGGCCTGACTCGATCTGTATTTGATGATTTGCTGAGCAACAAAAGCGACAAGCACAGCAAACACGACAAAGCCCATTAAGATGATCATGGCCCACTGCTGGTCTGTTAACTGTTTGGGCTCCACTAACTTAGATTCTTGTTTAACGTCCGTTTCTTGTTTACTGACTGGCTCGTGACCTTGAGTTGTGAAGGTTACGGCCGGGCTGAACGCCCCCACAACTTCAGTCCCGTCCTCACAAATTCTTATTGCACAAACACGCAGGTGATAATCTGTTTTTGGAGACAAGTTTTCCACCTGAAAACCAGTGTCTTCTCCTCTGTATATCTGCAATAAATGCCATAACATTATTTTCTGTAATCATGGTAATTACATGTATTACACAGTAAATATACTGTAAATGAAATTTTCTTCACTACATACATGTACTTAAAAATTACTGCTTTTTATCTTTTGATAAAGTTCAGATCAAATACAGCTGAATCAGAGTTATGTAACTTGGGTGCTACTTTCACTTTTCTGATTTATACAAATTTTAAGAACCATCTTTTGATATTCAGTGTTAGTTGTCAGTGTCATGTGATACTTTCACTTTCCTGACTCTAATTTCACTTTCCTTACTCTAATATGAATGTTATAAGACTGACCTTTTGATATTCCTGCTCCCCCTGTAGCTGTAACAGGTACACCACTGAGTCCCCCTGTACCGCCTTACACGCCTGCCACTCCACACTACACGAATGCTGGGTGATGCTGGACACACGAGGAGCTGTAAAAAACAAGTTCCATCACTTTTATAGATACATATTATTTTGTACATTCCAATATTTCCACATTTACAAGACCTAAAACAATGCAACAATTGCAAACTATTATTTGCCACATTCCAATATTTTCAAACTTATGGGACCTATAACAATGCAACCAATGCAATATTTTTTAATGTAAAAAGTTATGTGATCTTTTACTGATATGAAGTCTTTGATACATGTACAAGACAATATTTTCAATTTTAAATAGCTAACTAAAATTTGGCCTACAAGGTTTTACTACACCTACAAATTAGAAGAAAAAACTGTCATTCCCTTCTTTCATCTTTTGAGATAAAAAAATAACTTTTTTTGAAAATGTTAAAATATTTTCTTTAAATATGAACTTTTTTATGAAAGTCAGGAAAACTGGTTTTTCTCTGTAGGGCCTTCAGCATTACAAAATTAAGTTCAATTAGGTTGTTGGGATCTTTGTGCCATATTTTACAGAAAACTACTCACCCCTAACCGCCGGGGGAGGAGCTTTGGTTGTGGTATATGTGTAAATTTCTGAATATGGTCCGCTTCCTACATCATTACTAGCGTAAATTCTGAAGTTGTAGTTTGTAGTTTCCTGTAATTTGTTGACCTTGAAGAAATGGGAGGAGCCTTCGTATATCACTTGGAAGCTACAAGAGAGAAACGAATTTTATCAAAATTTAACTTCATCATCCTTGAATTAAGAGGAGAAACTTTTATATTACAGCATAACTTGTGTCTAATTTGAATGACATTTGATTTGATAAGATGTTAACTTTAAGCCCCTTATAGTAAATTTAACTGATTAAAAAATGTTTCATTGTATTATTCAGTAAAACTCATTTAGTACCGGTACAAACACAGATATTGTGAATTCACAGATATAGCGAAGTTATATTGGATCCTCAACGATATGAATTTAACTTATACGTATAATGAATTACATATAAATTTCAATTACTTGAATATTTTTAACAATAAATCAATTACTTACTTTTCCATCTTCTTTCTCCATTTCTAATGTGTAGTGATTGGTGTCTAGCCCCCGCTGGTCACCCCACTTGAGTTTGAGACTGTTTGGTGCCGGAGCGATACACTCCAGTTTGGAGGGGTTAGGGGGGAGGGGTCTGGTGGTCACTCGGACCGGGGCACTGAACGGACCCACCCCAATACTGTTCACAGCCTGTATCCTTATCCTGTCATAGTACAACAAACACAGTTTGTAAGTTATTTGGATAGTCATTGTACTGGTAATTTACACCTGTATCACTAAAACAGAAAGGTCCCATAGGAAATTTTTCTGTACATCACGTTATCAAAAATGAAAAATAACAACAAATCTGTTGTCATTTATCTGGTGATTAGTAATGCTTTTCATTATGTACTGAATCAATAATTCTTAAAAAAACAAGATGTAAAAAAAATTCATATTTTCTTTCACTGAATTACAGAGCTAAATGGAAACCCAGTGAATACAAAGCCTAATGTTGAGTGCCTTACTTGTAGGCGGTCTCTGGTGACAGTGTCTCTATGGTGTACTCCGTGACGGCCCCGATGGTGAACTGCTTATCTCCCACCTCCAGGTTGTAGGCAGTAATGTCGCTGCCATTGGAATTGGGTTCCTTCCAGAAGAGAGTGATGGAGGTGGCGGTGGAAGTGTGACGTATGACGGTGACAGATGACGGACTAGAGGGCGGGGTCACACATGTCCCCACCGGGCTGTAGGGGCCGTGTCCAGCACTATTGATTGCCTATAATATAAAGAATGTAAAACTTAAGGGGCATGCCAAGCACTATAACACAAAGCATTTACTGGTAAAACATAAGAACAGTGACCAGCACTATTGATTGCCTACAACACAGAGTATTTAAAACTTAAGAATCGTGACCAACACTATTGATTGCCTGTAACACAGATAGAAAGTAATTTAACTTAAAAGCCATATGCATGACCATTGACCAGCACAACTGATTGCCTAAAACACAAAGAATTTCAAACTTCTAATCAACTGTATACAGGGAAATTTTCACCCCTTTTATTTTCTGCCCTTTTACTCTCAAAGCAATAGGGTGAATTTAAAATGAGGTGAATTCCAAGAGAATGGCATTGTCTCTTAACAAAACTGGGCGAATTCAAAATCAGTCAAAATTGTTTGCAAGTGTGAAAAGCTGATAATAAGATGGGCAATGATAACCCTGTAAACAGCATTTCAGCAGGAAATAACCTTTTAAACAAAGACCAAAAGATGAACAATTTACCTTTAAAAAATGTCACAAATAGCCAAACTGTTTTGAATATCAATTTCCTTGGAAACATCGTTAATGTCTTTACCAGAAGAGACCACTAATACATACCTGAACCCTAAAGAGGTACAAGGTTGCAGGGGTGAGACCTTTGATTTCATAACTCTGATTAGGACCTGTGTATAACTGAAATTCATGGAAAAATATTTATTATTTGAACACAATGCTAAAGTACGAATAAAGATAATGACTTAATCTAAACTTAATAGACATTTCTCAGAAAAATATAAATGGGCGTTAATTTTCAATGCTTAGAAGAACATTTTTTATATTTGTCAAATAAAATGTTAATTAGGAGAATTAAAAAAAATTTAAAATTTCTCGGAATAGGTTTAAATTTAACAATGCTGAGAAGAAACATTTATAGATTTGTCACATCAAATGTTTATTTGGAGAAATAATTTTTATATTTCTCAGTATTTTAAATTAACAATGTTAATTTTTAGATTTGTCACATCAAATGTTAATCAGGAGAATAAAAAATGTTACCAGAGCAAAGTCTGTGACGTCTGTTTTCTGCTGCCATTCCAGGCGATACTCTGTGATCGTAGCACCATTGTTGACGGGGGGTTCCCAAGAGACTAGCGCGGAATACGCAGATTTACAGACCAACTGCGGGGCCTTGGGAGGGTCAGGAACGCCTGCCCCACTGACCACCTCAAACGGGTCAGACCAACCACCTCCCTGTAATAAAAAGCAGGCTTGGTCAAAGGTCTCCACAGAAAAAAAAAATATTGAATTGGAGAATTTTGAATTGTTTGGTACTGTAAATTACTTTTTTTGCAAGAACTTTATTTTCGCATAATTATGTAAGATGATCTGCTTGCGAACACTTCATTTACACATAATATTTTTTGGACATTTGAAACTTTGTCTTGCCAATATTTAATACCAAATAACATTGGTGAACATTGTAAAATTTTGGTGATTTACAGTATGGTATTGTCAGACATACATTAAACACTTAGGAAAGATACTTTTGAGGAAGAGAAAATCCTGCAATCAAAAAAGTAATAATGACAAAGATCTTGTGAAAACCATAAAATCATACAATTTTTATAGGTTTCTTTTACTTTAAAAAAAAACACACTATATTTATGAGTAAGTCTTACCCCCACTCTGTTGAAAGCTCTGACTTGAAACAGATATGGCCTGCCTGGTGAGAGGCCAGCCACTATACAGTCTAGGTCCCTGCCCTTGTACACCTCCCGACACGTGTTGTCAGGGGTCACCATCTGTACAGCGTACTCTGATACCGCCGCACCACCATCATACTCTGGACACGCTACAAAAAATAAAAATATTTCGACTTATAAAAAATTCTGCGAATTATGTACATGTATATGCTGTGAATGCTAAAAAAGTGTGTGTTTTTCTCAATTTCATCAAAGAAAATTCCCAAAAGAGAATCGAAACAAACAAATATGGTTAAAAACTGTCCTAAATCTGTAATATGTATATCAGGAATGCAGTTAAAAAATCTAAAAGGCATGCATGCTCCAAAAGCTGATTTACTGAATGTAATATACGTCAATAAATACCTTGCAAATGAAAAAAAACCCCTCTAATTTGAATTTATTTACAAAAATATAAAATGATATTTTTCCCAATTGCAAGAAAATGTCGCCATTTTTCCCAAATGGAAAAGCCCAGGCCCTTGATTTCAAGACCTAAAAAAACCCTGGGGATAGATAAGCGTGACCCATGAAATCCACAAACAATGCTCAGCATAGACAGTGATGATTGCTCAGAACTTGGATTAACTTAATACGTTAGCCTCTTACCCCATCTTAAGTGCAGGGAGGTTGCTTTTGGCTTGCCCTGTAGCTTTGGGGCCTGGCATTGGCCTGGAACAACAGCTTGGGTGGTGGCTCCACAGGGCTCCGAAAACTGAAGGCAAGTAACATATTTATCATAAATCTTGCATAAAAGGCAAAAATGGAACAAAATGTTATTCAAAAGGTTCATATGTTCTGTATAAAAGGCAAAAGCAGAACAGAACGTAATTCGAATGTGCAGATGTTTTGGTTTCTTACTACAAGTGAAAATTACGAATAAACACACACAAAGTTTATTTATAGGTATAAGCATGTATAGTTTTTTTCATATTTTTTATCCTTAAAGGAAAAGCAAGATGAAATTGTTACTCCTGGTATTTAGACTGACCTCACTCCTCCCGGCGACATTACAGCAGGCCACTCGGACCATGTACATCTGGCCAGGCGTTAGACGATCACAGACATGTTCTCTCTCAGAGCCCTCGTATAAAGTCTCATAACCTACAATACAACAATAATTTTAATTGTTTAAAATGTTGTCTTATCCAGCAAATTTCTTTGGAACCCAGTTAGAAAGTTTTACTGTTACTACAAAATCTGTCAACTTGTTTTCATTTTTAAATTTTGAATTCTGTGTGAAATAAAATTGTGTGTATGTATGCATTTCATTTTTTTTTCCAATTCATGACTTCATTGTTATTGACTGTTCTTACAGAAGTTAAAATATCTCATCAAAACCCTATATAACAAAATAATACATGTACAACATACACAAAGTTGAATTCAAAGTGGATTACAACAGTATGTGCACAAACTATAGCTAATTTTGAAAAAAAATTAATGCTTTTATCTTTCTTCATATATATTTTTTAGTATATTCAAAATATATTGCAGCTGTAATTAGTTTTGGGAAAATTGGCTCAATCTTCAGTAAGTGGCACCAGAAAAGAATTTATATTTTTAAAGAGTGAATGAATTGGTGAAAAATAGATAGCAATTTAAGTGTTAAAGTATGAATCTTTATAAATAATAGTTCCTTTTGGTAAGATTCTGTCACTGACACCCCCCTTCCCAATGACAATTTATACAACACACTTGACAACATTTAGAGGGACCACACTATACCCACCTCCTCCTCCTGTTAGCATTAGTAGAAAGGCAGAATTAATGTAATCGGCACTATGCAAGGTCGATTCATTCATAAATACTATTTAACAAGACTTTTTTTGCATTCCTAAAATTTACTATGAGATTGATTGTATTTTAGCTTACCTCGTCCATCATCTATTTCAACAATGTACTTGGTTATTTCAGCCCCTCCATTGTCTTTTGGTGGCTCTGAAAGAAAAAAATTATAAAATTTTCATTTTATTTACCTAACTCTCTGTAAACTTCCAACACAAGATCTCCCAATTAAGTAAAGAGACAGGATTCAAATCCACCACTTAGCTCAAACTTACCCCAGACCACCCTGAAGTTGTAGGCATGGATCTTGCCCTTGATTTGTGGTTTTGGGGGTGGGGCTGGTCGGTCAGGCTTCGTTCTGTAGGTCACGACCTCACTCCATTTACTCTGACCCTCGTCATTAAAGGCCGCCAGCTGTAAAAATTTATGTACTGGTAAAATATATTGTTCTCTTCATGTAGCCTTTCTTTAGAAATTGTATAGAACTGAAAAATAAACGTATCATGTTCATCCCTTTCATATAGATTTTCTATATATTTACGGAATATAGGTCATCTTTTTTTCTCAGAACCGCTGGGAGACCAATATTCAGAATTCGACTATTTAAGGCTCAAATTTAAAAATGCCTCCAAATGTAAAATTTACGTCAATTTCAAAGCAAATCGGTGCCCCTTTTGACTTTTTTGATTATTTTTCGCAAAATTAATGCCCCGGTAAACAATAACATATTTACAAAACTTTCTTACAAAATAAATTCCATTGATTATCCGTTGATGAGAAAGGAAACAACATTGCTTCACCTATTAAATAACTCCTCAACGTATTATCTATTAACATCATGCGGTATCCATCTTGTGAAGCTAGGAAGTCGCGATCGTGTACTAAAAGTAAAACCGCAACCCTATCAAAATTTAAAATACGGAAAATTTTCACGATCACAACTATAGTGTTTTTACCATTTATTAGTAGCGATAAATTGAAATAGTATATTAAATATTTTTCATTGTCTTATGTTTATTTAAATGTAAAATGAGTGAAATAATTTGTTGCCATTATTAAAATCTTCGTACACAAGAAGTACATTTTTTTTTTTTTGGAAAAATATTTGTATTTTATTTGAAGTACATTGGACTACCGGTATACAAAGATTGGCTTATTTTAATTGTCTGACAGATAAAGGGATTTACACTGTGTACGCAAAGCTGTTAAACAACACCTGTGTTATTTCTTAATTGCCTGCGGGGCATGATTATCCCACGTGCCATTATAGGGTATTAGTGTTACACTTCATTGAACAAACAAAGCCATGAAATTCATGTTGACAGTCAAATTGTGAATGTACTATCAATTAAATTTATAAATTAAACTTATAGAGTGTAAGTATGATTTCAATTCTTTACTGTTGCTTTGATATATACATTCAATGGTAATTTGATTTAGCCAATCCCTGGAGTAGAAAAATAACAATGGCGGACATCGGAGTAATTGTCGTCCACCGGTAAATACTGTCTGAATAAAATTTATTAGGAATGTGTCCAAGTTATTCTGAAATCGGAATTGCTATTCTTTGGTCCATTTCCCAAAATTTAGCTGTAAAAAAATAATGTATTTACGTGTTATTTATGCCTCTGATTTAACTACAGTGTGAAACTACGGAGGCATTGATTGATTGAACACGCAAGTTGGAGAAATATAAGTAGTAACACAATTCAAAGAAGTTTTAACTACATTTTTTAAAAAACTTTATTTAAATGCTGTACTCATTAAAATACCTGTTTATTTTCTTGATATTTTCATGTCACGGAATAACCCCGGTAATTTTAGGGTTTTACCTGTTCTGATACGTTGTATCTGCGTTAGAATCTTTAGAAAACGGGAAAGAAAGCCTCGTCCTATATAGTAAGTTCGCCCTATCTTAGGATTTTTCAAAAATTGAGGCTGAAAATGAGCCTTTCGACCTATATACCCCATCGACCTATAATCCCAAAATTACGGTATATAGGGCTATTTCAATAATATCAGATGAGGAAAACTTACTCTGAATTTATACTCTGTGTTTCTCATCAGGCTTTTGACTTTGTATGATAAATTTGGTCCATTGTACACAGCGATAAAACCATGCCCCTGTCAAAAACAATGTAAATATTTAGAAAAGTATTTTACCCTGACCTGATTAAAAAGGTAATTTAATCAAACTGATGAAAAATGGAGTCTATCTTAAATTGCAAATTTCATGTGCAATAGTCTTTCTTTCTTGATGTCAATTTCATGTGCAGTAATCTATCATTTTAAGGTAGATAGATTTGTGCAAAAGTCTTGTCACTTAAAGGATGACTTATATGTGAGTCTTGTTACTCTAAGGTAGATTATCACATGCAATAGTCTTGCTATCTTAAGATAATTTTCATGTGCAATAGTCTTGCTATTTAAAGATAGATTGACATGTGGATTGAAGGTTAAAGGTCATGTGGAATAGTCTTTGCTTACAGTAGATTCATCCTCCATCTGGAGCTGGAAGGTGTCCTCGTTTGGATGTTTGATCCAGGAGATGATCAGTGACGTTGTGAAAGGCTCCGACAACATCGGGGGGTCAGGCTGACTGGGTACACTGCCACTCGTGTAGAAAGACGCCGCCTCACTGAACTCACTATAACACAGTTCATTATCATTTAAATCGTTTTTGGTACAAAGATTTTTTGTTACAATTATTTTTCTATTCCTAATGTTTGATGTAATTAATTAGAACAAATAAAACATGGAATATTTCTCAAATGGTGAAAATTAAATCGATTGAGTATCTTACATATTATAGTCATGAAGAATCAATTCAAACAAAAAAAAAATCATCAGAAAAAAACCTGCAATGAATTGTTTTGGGAAAATAATCTTAGAAGTGGCTTCTTATGTGTATGGCTTTACCTTTTACCAATGGAATTAATGGCTGCCAGTCTAAACGTGTACTTAGTGGATGCCTGCAGCTTATTGATGCGCGTCTGTCTTTGTAGTCCATTATACACCTCCACAAACTCACCATTCCCCTACAACACATCATAAACAGCCTCATTAAAATCAAACATACAAAATTACAGCAGGTCTTCACGTTATATTAACAAGCAACAAGGCAGCAGCCTTTCATTTGAGTAACTGGAATGCTTTGATTTTTGTTTTGTTTTTCAGAAGGATAGGTTAATTATCAATGCATGTTCAATAAAAACTTTGATTAATTCAGCAATTTGAACTGATTAAATGCTCTGAACTGAAAGCAGAGAATAGCCTGACTTGATCTTGTTCACCTAAGAGCTCTGTCAATTATCCATCAATCATTTGTATAATGCTATAGTTGTGTTGTGTACAAAGATCACAAGAGTTATGTCTCTTTGATCATACAGCTCTGATGAACCCTACCTTATCCATTTCCAATGTATACGTGGAAATCTTCGCCCCATTTTCACAGGTGCTCTGTTAAAAAAAAGAATCTTAAAGTCATGAGGTACACAAACCCAGAAATAATTACAGATTAATTAATGTGTAAATGGACCGTTTGTTTACATTCTTTGTTCTCATCTAAATTGTATATAAAAGAAGTCTTGGATGGCAGTATTTATCAAAACAATTTGGAGAACAAAGATTTAAAGTCCCTCGCAGGTGGTATGAGATTTCGTGTAATTCTAATCACTGCCTTCAACATATGCTTATCAGTAGAAAAACTGTTCGGTTAACCTCCAATTTAAATGAAAAAGATTTCAAAGCTCTGCTATACTCCTTTTCTTCAAACACATTGCAAAAGGCATTGAATTTCGAAACAGATGCAAGAATATGTTCGCTGCTTCAAAAGTAAACTGAAACCTTAAATTATACATACTCTTCATGCATTAATTCATTTCATAATAGAATGTTATAATTTTTGACTACAGGGGGGTCTGAGTGCAATAGCTGGCCCACTTACATTCCACTTAAGGGCTATGGAGGATTTGTTCTTGTTGGCTAGTTGGGGGGGGGGGTGAGGGGGTTTCTCAGTACACTTACATTCCACTTGAGAGCTATAGAGATTTTGTTCTTGTTGGCTAGTTTGTGGGTGAGAGGGTTTTTCAGTCTTGTTGAGAGCTATGGAGGTTTTGTTCTTGTTGGCTAGTTTGGGGGGTGAGGGAGGATCTGGTTCGCAGGCACTAGTCGTAAATTTCACAGATTCTGTTGTGTTTCCCTTCAAATCCTCCAGGGAAGTGTATACTCTGAAAAAAAGAAGTTATTTTTGATATTTCATTCTTTACAGTAAACCAATTTTTATTCCCAAGTCAGAAAGATTTTGGTGAGGTTCAAACTTTTCTTTTACTTGAGAATATTTCACCTAAGTATTTATATAGGATGTGGCCACAGTTATGAAAATTTTAAGTCGTGGATGCATTCAAAACTGAAAATATCAGGAACAAAATGTCACAAATAATAGTTGATTTACAGTTGTTCTTTAATCTTTCTTATTTATTTAGTATTTCTGCCTCATCTTTCATCTGGTCTGCTAAACATATATCAATCGTTTCCATCTTGGAAGTAAATGAAATTATTCCAAAATATTGATTTGAAAGGCACAAAGTGATTCCAAAACATTAACCCTATTTTTGTGTCTATACTAAATCATCTGTTTTTTATACACAGTAACATAATGACCTACTTTCGTCCTGGTGAGAACTCAATGAAGCGTTAAACAGACCATAAATTAACTAACAGGTTTATCTCCATCTAATGTATTAATTCCCCCCAACGAGAGCACTGTGCTCCATTTGTTATCAGATAAAACTACCAGAAGCTCTGGCCTTAACTTCATCAGAAGCCGGTTCTGAAAACCTCAGCAATTTTTGCCGTTTTCCCTCATTTTTAATATTTTTTTCAAAATCATCTTGAAAACAGCTAAAAACTGTGGCCCCCCCCTTTTCTTTTACAGAGCAGGAAACCTATAAATATATAAACAGTAATTTCATTGCAGGTGTTAACATTATTTTTTGTTTGGAATCATCAATTTCTCTTTTAAGATGGATCTTTCCTTTTATTTGTTTTTAATTAATATGCAGGTAATATGTAACATCTCATTCTTTATAACACAGGAATGACATATCACTCCATACCAACTGTTCATTATTCACATAGAAAACAATAAAAATGACAATCATAGTGTCAAAAACCTGATATATCATAAAACTATTGAATAATTGATTTTCAACACAAATTTACAGGAAAATTTCTTTGTTTCTGGCTTTCAAACCTTAGAAGAATGAACATTCTGAAGGGTTTTAATGAATATTAATGGTATGTACATGTATCAATCTAACGGCATTGTATCATTCATCAGTGCATAAGAAAAGCATGATGATTATCATAAAATCTTTTCTGGGAAGGTGATTTTCTGAGAAAAGGAATGTTGTTAGCATTAGCTAAAAAAAACGCGGCGGGATAGTTTTACAGGCTTCAAAAATTAGCATTTGTGTTGAGCACGGGCTAGGCATTTATTAGGAGTTTATTAGAAGAGTACGTAGATTCATCAAATTTAACCAGCGTAGGGTGCATTGACCTGATGGTCTCTACCATTTGACCTCATATTTAAAAAAAAAAAACCCTCTGTAATCTTTAAAACAACCCCCCATAAAAACCCTTGTCTAATTTCGGTGGCTGGACTCCTTATTTTCTGACAAACATAGCTGATGAGAAATGATAACAGAGTGATAAAAAAAAACAAAATTGCTTATGTGTGATGAATTGAGCCATTTTTTCGTCTATAAAACATGAACAAGGGAATGGTGATGAGCTGTGCATGTTCTTCGTTGCTGATCAATCAGGGCCGCATTAGCAGCGTTTTTTGGGGTTTTTTTGTTTTTTTACCTGAGGTGATAATCAGTCGCTGGCTTCAGATCCTTCAACGTAATTTCTGTGGCATCCCCGCTAAAAACAAACAAAAAGAACAAAATATTAATTCAGGGATATAAACTACTGAAACCACAAATATTTGGCATCCCCGTTATAAATGGACAGAGAGGGAAAAAAATTCAAATTTAATCTGCAAAACAAGCAAACCACAAAATATGCTGATCATAAAAAACACACTCTATATATTCAAATTAAATTCCTATAATCTTATCAGTTTAAGAACATCAAAGCCTTCTATTAAGCATTTTGGAAAATGCCATCATTTTTTCCCCCAATTGAGATAAGTTTTCCTACATGTTTACACTGCCTGCTTTCAAAGATGTATCTAAACAAAGAAATCATTGATAATTTTATTTTTTAAATTGTGCATATACTTAGTACACTGATTGTATGTCAGACATGTTTACTGTACACAGTTGAAATACATTTATTTATTTTTCTTTCGCCTGCTAAGCAAATTATCCAACGTTTCGTTGATGTTCTGGCATACTCTACTAACTTAATTTCTATGAAGCCTCAATCATGGCCTTATATTCACCCCCCCCCTTCTCCTCTTTACACCTTTATCTTTTGTTTGTTCCCCTACCTGTAAACTAATTTGTATTTGCCCTCCTTTCCTTTATCCGACAGTAGTAAGGTAAATCGGAAATCGGCAGGATCTATTTCATACACATTAGGGTCCCACTCTGGCAGTGCCAACTGAATCAGGGCGCTCCTAGCCTCGATTTCAGACACCTGAAAAACAAATAAATATCATCAGTATCAAAGTATTTTTATAGTAAACCGATACTAACAACATAATTAGGCATTTTTTCAGTATACATAAAGTGGTGTAAAAATAAAAACACTTTCAAACAAGGGCCCTATTTTCTAGTTCATCCAGATGTGTAATTTCTTTTATTTTATTTTTAAATATACAATTAGTTCCAGATTTACAAAAACAGTCTACTTTTGCAGGTGTTTAATTAGATATTGATGTTATGTAAAGCAATGGCTGACATCTTGGGGTATGGGTCTGGAAATTTTAGTTCAACACTTAGATACTGTATTGGTCAACAATAAGCAAAGCATTTCATGGATTTGGATATATACACTGACAAACTGACCATTGATACTAGACGGTGCTTATTTTATGTACAGCAATTTACTATCAGTATAGACTTGCTATCTGAGGGTTGGAGGACTGACATTTCATGAATTATCTTGTTTAACATCTGTAGACTTACTGTTTGGTCTCAGGTACTAGAGAGCACCTGTTGTAACTAAGTTTAGTCACCTAAATAACGTTTGGCCCATGTTTAGCAAACAGTACTTATTTTTAGTATCTGTATACTTATTACAGAGTCTGGGTTACTAGAAAGTATCACATCTAATGTATTCATAAATATAATTACTGTCATATCTAACTCAGTATGTGTATTCTGACTTGGGTTGGCCTAGTACAAGAAAGTATTCATATCTGAGTATCTATATACTTATTCTTGGGTTTGCTGGGGATGGGGGGGGTTACTACATAGTATATTTATTTATCAGAGTATCTATATACTTAGTGTCAGGTTTAGTGGGGATGGGGAGTTGCTATTTTTATTTTTATCTATTGAGTATCTATCTACTTACTGTAGGGTCTGGGGTACTAGACAACACTTGTTGTATGACTTTTCTCTCCTCGGCTAATTCTGCCTGCTGACCTGTATCTACCGCAGGAGGCAAACTGTCTCCATTCATTCCATTACCTACAATAAATAACTTAACATTATCAAAGCATACCATACATCATACTGCATATATATGTATGTGACTTTTCAATGTAGAATAAATCAACACAATCTTTAATGCCATGTCAACAAAGTTCAGTATAGTTGAGCCTCCTGCTCTCAGATATCAATATCTTGAATCCACAGACTGGATGTCAAAGTCTGGAAGTCCAACCTTTTCTAATACATTACAACCTCATTATCTCAAATCCTTGGATATCTCAGAATTTTTTCTGTTGAAGCCATCAATTGGAGATTAAAAGATTTGACTGTATATGTATTGCTGCTTTTTGTGAATCTTTGTCAAACAAGACAAACCAGACAACAAAAGTACTGCAAATCATTCATTTAAAAATCCTAATTTATGTACAAGAAACATGACATTATTCATTATAAATTTATCAACAAAAGTACACCCTGTGGCACATTTTTCATATTTAAAAGGACTATATATACAACACAGAGAGGAAGGGAAGTCATAACAAACAATCAATTCTGTTTAAAAAATGTCTAAATTGGCCATTACAGGAGAAGAAGGCTTTAGAAACTAATCCTCGTTAGAAGTGGAGACTGATGAAGCAGCTCGTTAGAACAGCTAACAAGCCCCCCAGATCCCTGACAAAAACCACCCACCAGCTTTAATTTGTTTCAAGGAAACAGACCCCTTAAATAATGCGATCTGAAAGAAGATGACATTAATTGGAGAAGATTATGTAAAAGTTTGAACCGTGTGGTAGAGATGGACTACAGACAAGAAAAATTGAAACACACACATCTGCAGATTCTTAGGAACAAAATCTGCACCAACCAAATATTTTCAATGAGGAACCTTTAAAATGTTGTTGTCAATGTGAAAGGGAAAAAAACTGACACTCTCACATTAAAACACACACCTGGAAACTTCTAATGAGCAGAATAGAGAAAATTATCTTAATCAGGGTAAGGACACCTTAAAGTGTGTGTTTAAAGTACCTCTGATCAAAGATACTTGGCAAAAGAATACTATGTGATAAAAGGTTATCTGGTGCCTTTGTTGGATCAAGTTTTACATCAGAAAAAAGTCAAACTCATTTTGCAGTTTCTTCTGTGATGAGAAAAACAAGTGCATACTGCAGACACAAAGAATATGAAACTGTACAAAGTTCTGTTTCCCAACTCAAACACTGAGACTTAAGGATTTCACAGACATGTTAATGGAATAGATTTATTTCCTCTGTGGCTGAACAATAACTTATAAAAGTGAAGATCAAAGTATGCAGCATAACTGTCTTGAAGAATTACCCCACAAATTTTTTGGGCTATTTTGTTCAAAAATGGAACTGTTATGTAACTTAGAAGTATGGAAAATGCATAGCTTGGGGAATCGCTGATTTTGATTTGTATATAAAATCAACCACAAAAAACGAACATCTGGAATGAGGAACCAATGTCAATAAATCATAAGGAATATATCAAATTTAAATAAAGCATACAGGATTCTTATCCCCGCAATTCCAATTCTGTCTGCTAAATGAATTATTCCTTTCTATGCTTTAAACCTCTCTGACAGAATAATAAAACTATTTGTGCATGACTGATTACGAAAAGCCAATAAATAAAAATCTCTGTTCATCATTACTTATATATATATATATATGTATACAATGTAGGTCATACCACATACCAGCTCCTATGATTAATGAGACTAACAGTGGCAAAAACACTATAAAACCTATCAAGTGCCCATATCAGTGCACAACTCCAGCTTTCGGAAGGGTGAAAAAAAAAAAATTCTAACATAGCATCCCCTTAGGAGCAGAAAGGTCATTGGCGTCTGTACTGGAATTGCCCAGTCAGCAATATGTTACATTCTCAACTATCAAAGAAAAAAGGTCAGCATAAAATATCATATAATCGATAGACAGGGGGCTTAGAGCTATGCTGATGTGCAGATTTACCATATGTGACAAAGTGCATGTTTTTGTGGCACTTTCAAATAAGCAATAAATTACAACTTTTTTTTCTTCTAGTTTTTTTTTTAAAATATGAACTCTAGGCTATCAAAATATACCATTACTTTAGACAATAGTTAGAAAATAAATTATTTCCAATTTTGTGCTGAGATAATGATTTTGTCTTCTCTGTTTTATCTGGTAAGTGTGTCAGCCTTGGGAGTGTGTTCTATGGGTCTGCTGCCTATAAAGCTGACATTAACTTGACTAGACTTTTACTGCTGACTTCCACCTAACCACCTGTCTCTCTCCCCCCTGTCTGACACATAAAGCCTTCCTGAACAGCCTCTTATCTGCCTACAACACTGTTCCCCCACACACTCCCCCCCTGTTCCTGACTAAAACAACCACTTATCAGTCATAATCTCCCTCTAATCCCGTTACAGGATTCTCTCTGTCAGATAACGGTCAAGTTTCTTGTTCATTTCTTTTTCAAACAATCAACCTATTTTTTTGTCTTTACAAAGGCCATATATTGAAGAGAAGATACAAGACATCAAGGGAAACAAAAAGTCTGTCTTGTTTTTTCTACTGAATGTTAGTACAGTATTTAGCAGCAGCTCTAGAGCTCCACACACACACACACGTGTAGATAAAGAACAGGTGGGAATAAATAAACCTAACACCTGGCCTTCCTTAAACTCTGGATTAACTTCTAAATCCCTTTGATGGTATATTTAGTCATTATACAGCTTCAGGTGGCCACAGTAAGCAATTTGTGACAGAAAGAACTTTTGTGACAAAGATCTTTTCTATGAGGGCCTTTTAAAAATGAATTATAGGAATTCAATACACAGGGAAAAAGGTTTTATAGGATAGAAATTTTCATGTCAAGCAACCCAAAGTTTAAATCAGGTCAAATTCTCAAGTGAAACACTATACATGGGAGTTAGCGGTAGTTTCTAGGTTCGTCAATTAAGAACTGACTTAGAATAATTTGTTTTCTAAAACTCCTCCTGCTCTACTCATTATATAAACTTTACATATATTATATACTTATATTACCTTGATAATGGTACTGTTCATAGGGCATTGGTTTGGCATGGCTTTCTAAAAAAAAAAAAAATTAAAATGTCTCTGTAAACCTCTATATTTACATGTAAACAACAATTATTTAAAGCACGGCCATGACTTTTCCATATACTTATGCTTACGTGTTATTTGAATTAGATGATTATGCATAGAGAAACAAGTTGTACTTTCAGTTAAACAAGACATAATCTCCTTAATAAGATGTACTTTCCATGAAAACTATGCAATAGTGCAGTAGAACTTTACAGTGGGCCATTATGTTAGGAGAGTGTGACACTTCTTCACTACTTTGGATCAATTATTTTTGTCCCAACACCTAATGGCACTACATGAATTTAGTTAAGAACCCACTTTGAAGGAAATACAGAACCTGAATTATGACATACTCCAGTCCTACTGACAAAGTAAAGCTAGTAGTCCTTCTTATTTCACTAGTAAGTATAAGTACTGACAAAGTAAAGCTAGAAGTCCTTCTTATTTCACTAGTAAATAAAAGCCCTTTTACTTCTGACTCTTGTCTATCCTTACCCCTCTGATTCTCCCCCTTTATTTCTCCCTCTCCCCCTTTACTTCTGACTCTCTCCTCTGTCAAATCCCTCCCCCAATATTTCTTACTCTACCCTGCCCTTTCCCTTCTGATCCCCCCTTCCCTTTACTTCTGACCCTCCCCTTCCCTACCTTTTTGTTTCCCGTTGATCCTGGGTCTTGCTTGCTGTTGATACATCCCCTGACTCCCCCCCCCCCTCACTTTACCCCAGCCCTTACCTTTCTGTTTCCCGTTGATCCTGGGTCTTGGTTGCTTTTGATACATCCCCTGCCTCCCCCCCCCCCCCCCCCCCACTTTACCCCAGCCCTTACCTTTTTGTTTCCCATTGATCCTGGGTCTTGCTTGCTGTTGGTACATCCCCTGACTCCGCCTGTCTTCAAACTTCCTTTTCACCCTCTCTCTCTGTTTATTGGCCCGCCCCTCCATTGAATTTGGTTGACTTGGTCCTACAATTGGACATAAAATATATAACACTAATTTCATTATTGATGATACATGTTTAACATATGGCCTATGATGTGTCAAGAAATTGTAAGCTACTATTTTTACCAAAATAAAACCATTTCTTGTATAACAATGGGACAATGATATCTGCAGATAAAGAGGCAAATTGTGTATTTTTAAAAATTCTGCAGGGTGGGTTGCAAATGACTGCAATATCTAATGACATACATATATACTTATTTTCTGTCTCAGCCCTCACAAGCCGAAAACTTGGCTATTGATTTTGCTTCTTCCACCATAAAAATATTAATATTGATTGTTATCTAGACAATTCTGCTCAGGTTGTATGAGATTACATCTATGGCTGAAATATCTACTTGTGCACAACCAGCTTAACCAATCCTTAAAATCGGTTAAAGCTTAAAGTTTTACCTCCTTTTAAGGAGATGATGGAGTCACAGCTCCTACTTCAAAAATCTCTTCAATTATTCATTTCTTTTCACTTAAATATCAAATTATGATTCAGAAAAAGCCTTGTGATCAATAATTTTCTTTCATCTTAGTTTTTTTTGCTTTATAATATCAAATTCGAAATTCCAGAACAGCTTTGAAGTATTTGTTTTCACTTTCGTGTCTCTTGATATTTAATATTCTTTAGCCCGCTTTCATAAAAAATAATTGATGTAGAAAGTCACCGACAGGATGTGCCCACAAGAAAACTCTGTTTATTCTTTTAGAAAAGCCTTGTTTAATGATTACAAACTTCTTTTCACACATCAAATGCAAAGCACCTGGTTTCAGAAAGGCTAGATTCCAAAAATTTGAGTAGTTTATTTAAGACCTCACAAGACAGTGAAGACACGCATAAATATTTAGTCTGGGCTGGTATGTGCCCCATGACCTCTGTATAGAAAGAAATGGTCCATAGTTTTCAACACGTTCTTTTGGAAGAACCCAGGAATACATGGATATTGCCTGACAAAGTGTTTCCTAATATAACACGCCAACATGCTAATTTTTACTGACATTAGATGGTAAAGAGAACTTTAGACTCCATAACCGCACCGGAGTCAAGTAGTGACTTATAGATTATCAGGTTATATAAATAGACACCATTGTATAAATATGGAGCATTTAGATACTTTCATTGCATTGTATCAATTACAAAGGAATAAAACTTCCATAGAAATAAACCATTAATTAGAAAACAATTGAGATTCATATCACACAAATAAACAAAACACGTCATTTTATGCCAAATATAGCCTAGTTCAACAATTCCTCTAATCTTTTATTTTCAGTTTTAATGATGGTCTCGATCATTACAGGAAATGCAGACATGCCAAGTCACACTTCCCCCTAAATCCCATACAAAGCCTATGTCTGATCTTATAATGTGACCCTCAGGCTCTCTGTACCCCTAAGAAAGTTCACAATGGTGACATATGGTCGACTTTTTCAATTGCTGATGTGTCACATTCCTACTTACCTGTACAAAGATTGGTATTGGAAAACCCCAGGAAGTGACATCATACAATAGGATTTTAATCAATTTAAGGACCATCTCAAAATTTGAAAAAGTTATTTTGTACATTACCGAGTATGGTACATTGTGCTTTACAGATGGGAAACTAAATTAATTTCATTCATGATTAAAATGACCTACTCAACAAGATATTTTTGGATACATAAGCATGATTAGGGGACAAAGTAATTTATATATCTATTCATGTACAAGTACATTGAAATAATAATTCTAAAATATGGCACCATCTTAATTTACAAAATATAATTAAAAAAAAGACCAGTATCATTAAATTTTTTTCTCTGTATATACAAATAGCCAAATGCTAAATAAATGTACATCATCTTGACATATCTCTCTTAAATGGAGTGCTAACCTTTACACAGAATAATAAACTACTTAAACAAAATGCTAATTAATCTAAAGGTATTTATTATTTACCTGGATGCACTGGTCCACTGGGATTACTGTTACAGCTGGGGGGAGGGGGCGTCCCGTGGGGGTGTGTGGGGGCCCCCGTATGGACGTGGGGGGACGCCCCGTGGTGGGTGGGGTGATGATGGGAGGGGTAGGGATGGGTCGGGTAAGGGGGCCCGTAGTTAGGATAATACTGTGCATGGGGTGGTGTGTTGTTTGGTCCTCCCTGTGAAAGAAAATAATTAACAATTAATAAAAGTAATTATAATTAATAAACAGTAACTATAAGTAAAATCTATTGCATATGAATATTCATTAATCAGGGAAATACACAATCTTTGATATTTTTTCTAGAATATACATAATTTTACGATATGATCTCTTTTTTTTTCAATACATGTACATAATTTATCCAGTAATAAGAGGAAATACTAACTTGTTTGATTTTTTGGAGAAAATGTATTACATGTATAAATTACGACAAATCAATGACATATAATAACAAATCTTTTTTTTTTCTATGAATAATAATTAATATCATACCAAGTTTAATCATGCAAGTTATATGTATATACATTCTATATATTTAAGCATACATGAACATCCAGAATATGATGTATATAGATATCATCTAACAATAATCATAATGCAAACATATCTGACAATATTGATGTTCAGCTATTAATTACTTTACTCAGAACCCCCCCCCCCCCCCCCCCCCCCCCCCCCCCCCCCCTTCTGTGATTTTTTTCGTTTGCTTAATATTTTTAATAAATCTACTCTCTGCATTCAAAATTCAGAGAATTCCAAGCCAAATTTTCTGTGAAAACCTTTTTCTTTTCCAACCAAGTCCTACCACAAAAAGGTCACTGATGAAATATTGATGGCCCTTCACAAAGTCACAGAATGTGTGTCAATGCTCCATCATAAAACGTTACCATAATCAATACATCACAAGTGAAAGCCGACAGTTTGCCTGTCTCCCATAATGCTGTCATTGTCATCCGAAATTTTATTTTGACGCCAAATTGAGACACTTTTCACTTTGCATCCAGTTCAAATTTATATGCAAATTTTTGTACTCAGCATGGAAAAATTTGACCTTGAAACAAAGGGATCTTGCTTTAAAATTTTGCCATAAGCGTTTGGCTTTTATGTGAAGTTTCAGTAGGCCATCAGTCTGTCAATTATTTACAGTGTTAGACATCCCCTTAATAACAGTTAAGGACTTTACATGCCCAGGTCTTTAACATGTAATAGATTTTTTATACACAGGTCTACTTAAGTACAGGTCTGCCTAAGGCAGATATATTTTTGTACAATTCCATTACAAGATATTTGCATACTTTTGCATACTTTTATGTTTAAATGCATCATTGCTGCTCATCTATTATAAATTCTATAAGTTTAAAACAGTTGTCAATATTATTTCTAAATTTTGAACATAATGACAGCATTCGTCATATACATGTACAATTTATATGTCAAATGTTTTGTTCTGATTGTTAATTAGTTAATTTATCAAACCATGTTAGAAAATTAACGAAGATTGATTACAATGTAGTTATAAATGCATTCAATTCAATATCTGCATAATATTCATATTCTGTTAATTGCATTAAAAATGTATAATGTTACACCTATATACATACAAAACAGCTCAGTATATGTGAACTGGTGCTGCAACTCTTAAAGATAACCATGAGCCATACATATTCTGTCTTGTTCACAGTTTATCAACTTCAAACACCCCCTGTTCTTTATGCATATAATTAAGTTTTTTTGTTTCTTTTCAAAAGGAAATATCAACAGGTGCCAAACATAAGAACAAGAGAAGTAATGACTTGTTCTACAAGAGCTGAGCATTCTCTACTGCTTTTTGGCCCCTGTATGTTCTTTCCAATTTTCCATGAAGCCAATCTTTCTCAACAGCAGTGTCTTGGAAGGCTTAGGGGGGAATGAGTCAAGATAAAAAGACGAGTTGTATATCACTGGGGTCTACCCTAATTACAAGAGTCAAATATGAATCATTAGTCAGTGATAACGCTTTCTCCATTTTTTTGCAGCAAGACAATGTTTAACCTAATCAGTACTGACAAAATACATACATTTTCCACCGATACTCTTTGTAGTGTCTGATGTTTAACAAAATGCTCTGTGTAGCATCTGCACAATCTAAGAAGGCAGCAAATGAAGGCGGGGCTTAATAAACTATAGTCCCTCCTGTGGGTTGTTAGGGTTAGCACAAGACATGTCCGGTCAGGCAGCATGCAATCGCCATGGATACAGGCCTGGGCCACATACGAGAGGGGGGAGAGAAAAATCTGAATACATACATAGTATCCTACCGTCATAGAAGGTCCTCCCACCGGCATCGACGTGGGCTGGGGGGACAGAATGACGTGGGTCAGTATGCCGTGCTCGTCCACGATCTGCTGGACCATGTGACCCGGGGGGACCTGCATGGGCATGGGGAGCGGCGGACCGTTATTGGACACCATCCTCACCGTGGCTGGTCCTACAATAACATAATATAACATACAATAACAGTTTACCACAAAATTAAAGTCATATTTAGCATTCAGTGACAGTTTATCACAAAACTTAGGTCAAATATAGCATTCAATAACAGTTTACCACAAAACTAAAATCATATAATATACAGGTTCTTCAAGAACATATAGCATTCAATAATAGCTTGTCAGGTCCTTTGAGGACGTATAGCATTCAATAACAGTTTGCTGTGAATTGAAATCAAACGTTTGCAATTATAAATAATCAATTAAATGTTGTACATAACATGTTATTACTTTTTATGAATTCATTTTTATAAAGAAATTCTTCAGAGAGGTCAACCTGTTTTGAGGTTATTCAGTATACACTTTCAACATGCTCAATGCAACAGAAATTAAATCACCCAATTATTGCAAATTTTGTATACAAGGATAATTAGGCACTACTTCCCATCCAACTGAATACCTGATAAGTAAGTACACTTGACTGAAGAAAATATGCTGTTATGAATGTGTTAATTGTAAAGTAAGAATCTCCTCTAACGAAGTTTCAGATGAAAGATTTATTTCTTGAACATGTGTATTCTAGCTGATTAACGTACATAGGAATACAGATCTATCAAATGTATACGTCTTGAAGTGTTGCTTCTTTGACCCTGATTTGAGAGTTTGATGAACAGAGAATTGGATTAGTGAGTGTTCAATTGTTGAGAATTGGATTAGTGAGTGTTTGATTGTTGAGATCTTTGCCTGACGGTTGGAACCTTGACAACTACACTGGATGACCCCCGCCATTTGATCAGATTATCCAGTCCTTAGGCTAATGATCAATCTATACTCAAGTCTCATACAACCAGACCATGCTGAGATGCTGGAGTGAACAATAAATAACCTTGGGGATTGATGAGGGGGATCTTCCCAGAGTTCAAGGTCACCCGATATCACACGACACAAATAACAACAGAGTCATAGAGGCCTGAGTATACTGACAGGACTAATGCACCTGTGGAATCGCTCCTAACCAAGAAATCAATGCCTGGTATTAATCGGCAGCAAAGCACAAGATCTGCGTCTCTCTTACTGGTGGTCCAAAAGACTCCAATTAAATGCACACACATGAAAACACACCAAAAGTATTGATAAATGTCATTTGAAATCACTTTAAAAAGATTTTTGATTGATTAACTGGGGACCTTGTGCAATTTAAGAATCTGGGAAATCTTTGCTAGGAAAGAATAAACACTTTCCTGCAATCTTGAATGCAGAGATCTTGGGGAGTTCTTGTTTGCATAATTTACATCTGAACCAGGGGAATGATCCAATCTTTAAGGAATGTTTGAGGAAATGGTAAGGGACTTTCAGTTGCAAGATATGGGTATCTTGTTCATCTACAATTGACATGGGGGGAAAACACACATCAACTCTGACCTAGTTTGTCAAGGTCAGACTGTCTGACCTATTTACTGTAAAATGTGTGTTTGATTTAGCTTTCGCACAAAAAGCACCACTGTTGTGCACATAAATCCTATTAAACTATCTCAAATGGGTTAAATCTGAACTGAAATTGGAGTAAGCAGAAAAGCATGCCTCTTATCTGCAAAGAATTATTCAATCAAATACATGCAGGAAAATCAAAAACACCTCTGGATCAAGCAAAAGTTCCGGTGACCTAGAACTTATTGTTTCATGTGTTCTTAATTATTTCTTAATAGATAAATTCATTGCAAATATACCCCTTTTCTAATAGAGGAAAAGAGATTTTGCTTCCTACACTACCCAGGATCTTGTCCTTTAAATTCTCTGTGATTACAGGTTTTCAGGATATATTTCTTCACTTAATGCATTTATCAAAAGTGACATTCCTTTCCTTTGGACCAGGATTACGTTTTTTTTAAAAACAATCTGAGATGCTTTCCTTATGATGTCATGGTCCCCTAGTGCAAGATTATTTAACCACAGCAATGTTTTTCCTCCTATACTTTTATCTCTCAATAAATCAAATCCTGTGTACTTTACATTTTGCCTTACTGCAATAAAAATAAGTAATCAAAATATCCCTTTCAGAATTGGGTATGCTTGAGTGTAAATTCCAGTTACTGAAAATCCCCATCAAAGAAACCACCTTATGGGTTTCCAATTGTATTGTGAAATAGCATTTCCTCTTTTTTTTCTCTGGCAAACTTTCTGCAATTTCAGCTTCAAGGGATAGATAATTACCAGACATGCCACTATACCCTTCATTTGTTATGAGGGTGTGACCCAAACAAAACCCAGGCTGCACTGATAAAAATGTTGGCAGGATGCACAACAGCATCTTATCAACATAAATAACAGTCTTCATTATCCTCCATCACAGAAAACAAGGGGACCCATTATAAGCATGGCTGTATAAGAACTGCCAAAACGATTGTGTTGTGTAATTTTTTTGGGATCTGACCTTTGTCATGAGCATTGTCTTGTCTAATCCTCTATAGAAAAAAGTCTACATGCCTGACCTGACATACATCAGTGGACTCGCCTCACGATCTAGACTATAAATAGACAAATATTTGACGTGGAGGTATGTGCATAGGTATACGTACAGCCATCTACTTGGAGCAATCCTTGATACAATGAAATCAGTCGGCTGTTTTCTTTATAATCAGTTCAAGCCATTGTGATACAAATAACCTCCAGTGATAGGGGTATAAGAGGCCGCAGCAGGAATGAGTGAAAATGCGTATTTTCAGAAATACAGGTTTATATGCCCCTTTGGCCAGGTCAAACTCTGGGTGGAGCTACAAGTTAAAACAACAGAATTCTCTTCTCTGATGATTGGATTTTTTTTGTTTTTGGGTCAAGAAAAAAAAAGTCGAACAAAATTATAGAAAAAATATCATTCATTTCCACTATTAACACCTCAAGAACGTCATGCAGTGAAAATAATGACCATAATTCTGCTTCATTATTAGCACAATTTACCTGAATGACGCAGGTCAGGAAAAAAAAAAAAGCAAAATGTGTCAATTTCTACAGACAAAATGCTTGAACTACATAATAGAAATATCTGTAGGCCAGATAACCTCCATTTTTAAATTTTCATCCAAATTTTCAAAAAAAAAAATCCACAAGCAGGTTAGAGGTATCATTTATACAGCTGAGTTTTCCGTATCACTTCTGTAACACCAAATACCATTGATATACATGTAAATAGAAAGACAATTTTCCTTGTAGTATTTTTTTCCCCTGTTATCTCAAACCTTTGGATATCTTATTTTTCTGAACATTAGCTGCATGGATAGTTCTCATACTGAAAAGTCCATGGCCTGCTGGTACATTATGTTTGGGAACTAAGCACTGACCACAACTGGTTACAAAGTTCATTCATTTTTCATGGTGTTTGAATTTCCTTACTTGGGTGCTAGAATACTCCTGAGGACCCCCTCCCCCCCCCCCCTTTTCCTTAAAGAACTGGTGTCATGACATAGGGCAAAGAGCTCAATTAGGAATTGTAATTGCCATTTTTATACATAACTTTTTCTAAAAAAAAAAAAAAATTAATAAATGTTATCAATACATATATAACTTTTTTTTAACTTTTTAAATTTTTGTTCAACAAAAAACTTTCACCAAGCAATCAAATAAAAGATACAGACTAAAGGCACATCACTGTAATGTTCTAACTCTATTGGTCAACAAAGACTGCAACAATTTCTTTTGAATATTTCATCATGGACCAATATTTAACCAAAATATAAAACTTGAGCTAGACACAATAAAAACTGCAGGTATTAAAGAATGAGAATCTACAAAATAATGTTATCTGGCCTTACTTTAGAGTGATTAAGTTGCTCTACACTCTCAGTTGACAACTGCATTCACCAAATGCCTCCAGATAGTTAGCTATTGTATATGCTTACGTTAATAACCTAGTGTACTTTAAAGAATGTTCACCCCTTTGTTATTAGTCCAAATATAAATGCAGATGCGCAATACAAGACTATAGTCATGCATGTCATGATTTTATTAATAAGTTCCTATCAGTGCTGACGTCTTATTTTCAACTTTCCTCTTTCATGACCAAACTGACAAAGGAAATCTTTAACAACTGCACGTTTTTTTTCTCTCTCCCATATTTTGTATAACGACGTCTGGCTGGGATAAGAATTTATGCACCAATGACAGACAGTAGCCCAAAGAATCAACATACCAAAGGACAGGGACGTTAGACACTATACACTCTCATTAATAGCCCCACACTTCTCTGGTTAATACCTACAGGAGTAAAATTACGCGGTTTTGAGCAGATTTGTTGACCCACCCTTCTAGTTCATGCTGCTCTGGGTATCTCGGTAATCTCACTACCTATTCATTGATACCAATCTTTCAAGAGAAACGCTTTTACCACAGACACTGCAATATTAGTTCTGGAAAAGTCTCAAGTCATTAGCATCCAACTGGTGGTCGATTCAGAGGTTATATAGATACTATCTTTATAACTTCAAAGCAACATGCTACTTGATGTAATCTGTGTCCAATAACAATGGAAGTATTAACCAAACTCAAACATTCAGTGGTGGGCCAAAACAAAACTCAATTTTCCAGACTCACAAGTACTCGGTCACTGAACCCTTATAGAAACTCGAGCATTAGATGCCACACCTTAAATATTATCAAACACTTATTTGGTGATGAAAAAGAAATCTACATTTTTGCTATTAATATTTTTTTTATCAATGAATAAAGGAATGATTTTTCTTTTAACTACCTTGAAAAAATACACCTTTTGACCTGTTCATCATATATCAAAACTGACTCTGATGTGCACCATTAACATATCAATTAATTAAGTTATGTAAGAAATGTATATATAATGAAAAAAAAATACTTCATTTTAATCATGACCATATTTGCCATATATTTGCTATGTACTGTCTGTAGATTTTAAAATCAAGGGCAAAATTTGTTCTCTGACTCCTGAAGGGCAACTGAAGGTCAGATACTTTCCTTAATCTCGACTTAATTA